TTTCATTTGGTATAGGGGGCACAAGGGATGCTGGTAAATTCTGGAATATCCCCACAGTGACAAGCTGATCCAGAAATGGAATGTGATAAAATAGAGCTAAAATCAGGAGAGAAAGGCAGCTATGGGCAGGGTGTTGAGGTGAATTGAATAAGATATAGTGAGAGCTCACACCAGGCCTCACAATGAACGAGAAATCTTTCAAAAAATTTGACAAATTTGACACTTAGCCAAAATGGTGCAAAATTCAGTCCATTTCAGTGAAACAGCAAGAGGTTTCCAAGATTCGTGCCCATGGCAGTCTTTCTCTCCTAATCCATCATCATATTGCATTGCTATGCCTTTAAATCTTCCCTCCATGTTAATGATGACGAAGTTTCCAGCTCTCTCTCTTCTGAGCCATGAGGTTCTGGTTTAGGACCCAATTCGAGGCCTCAGCATAAAAATCTGCAGTGTTTCAGATGAGATGTTAAGCCATGGCTGCATCTGCTTGCTTGCGTTTTATATAAAAGATTCTGTGGCACTACTACATAGAACAGCAAGGAATCTAGCCCTGATGTTCCAGTTACCATTTATCCCTCAACCAGCATTGCCAAAACAGAATATCTGGTCATTATCACATTGTTGTATGCTGGAGGTTTTGTGCAATTTAATGCCACATTTTCTACTTCCATTTCAATGTCTGGTCATGAAAGTCACTATATAGATGTAGCTCTTTCATTTTTTCTTTCTAAATGGTTTTTCTGCAAGGTGGAATGTTTTTGAATTGCTACCAAATAAGCCTAGTCACAGGATGTTCACATCCCTCTGAACCAGCAGAATTTGAGTGCATAATGCAATCTGGTATGTTCAATGCAGGACTGAGGAAGATCTACATTGTGAGATGGCATCACACATCAAATTCAGATGCTCTTCTTTCTACCCAGGCAAAGTTTCGTGCCAACATTCCTCTTCCAAAATCACCTTCTTCTTTTAGCTACTCATACTTTACTTCAGGTCACTTTTAAAATGATAAAGGGATGTCATAGAGTAGATACAGAGAAACAATCTGCCCTGTTTCGAGAATCCTGAACATGGGGAACAATCTTAAAGTTATATCTAATAATATTATAATGAAGAAAAAAAATCTAGAAACAGGGATAATGGAATGGTAGTAGAAATTTAAAATTCTCTCCCCTGATGAGTGGGTTGAGTCTTAGCACTGAGACTCCCATTCTTTCTTTTAGCTAAGAATATTGAGCAAAGATTGAGTTGTCATATTTAGCTATGATCTCTACATGAATGCTGAAGCAGGCTCAAGAGGCCATTCTACCTTCTTACTGATACCATTTATTACATCACCTTCTCTATAGGGAAGGTTCAGATCAGATTATAGCACTATTTTAATGAAAACAAACAAAATATTAGATGCATTTAAATGAGGACACTCTCTTCAAACTTCTATTTCTATATTTTAAACTTAATCGTCTATTTTTTCTATTCATTTTACATTCAGACATCTCCAGCCAAGCTTTATAATCTTAATAGCAATCAATCCCCATTCTACAATTTGATAAATCTTCTGCAAACATAAGTGCTGTTTACTTGACGCAAAAATATCAGTTTAAATACATCGTAAGCTCCTATTTCTGAATTTATCTGTACATCTGCAAAAGATAAATGCATCCGATCTCTTCCTACATCAAGGAAATGCACACTAACCATTCAGAAATTAATTCTGCTATGGGAAGTGTTTCATAAGTTATAAAAAACTAACCACAGCAATGAAACAGTTTGCTATATAAACTACTTAACCAATTATTTACACAAAACCAAGGCAAGAGGTTAAAATGTCTAATTGAAGGTTAGCCTTTAATGTTTTAACAAAGATCTGTAGCTCGGATTGCGGTTGGAGTTGTTGGTTGGTTCGCCGAGCTGACTGGGTTTCGTGCAAACATTTCATTTCCCTTCCAGGTGACATTGAAGCTTCATGAAACCCAGTCAGCTCAGCTCAGCCCAGCCAACCAACAAATCCGAAAGTTAGCCTGTCAGACAATAACCCACTGACTGTTTGAAAAGAAAATATACATCAGAAAAATTTTAAAAATCTGTCACTTCATTCAGTTGAAGCAAAAAAAAAAAATCTGCACAGTTGATCACATATAAACACATGGTTACAACTCACTACAGACTTGGTAAATGTTCCATGTTAAGAGATGCAGTGTATTGGGTAATCAATGTGCAGCAGCATGGAATGATGGAATAATGGGGTTTGATCTCAATATCAGGAACAACTCGCTGCACCTTACATGCATCTCTTGAGCAGTGAGCCAAGTTTCTCTCTAGGCAATGGTAAGTTGCCAAATTAAGGGGCATTTTAGGGGGCATTACAGTTTATTGGCTACAGTATAGAAGAATGGGGGAGGTGTTGGAATCTCACATAAACTTATAAAATTCTGACATGACTGAACTGAAAGGGTAAATGTATTAAGGAGGTTGCGATGACCAAGAAGTCTAGAACCAGGGGACACAGTCTAAGGATACAGAGTAGTACACTGAGGACTGAGATGAGGAGAAATTACTTAACCCAGAGAATGGTGAGTCTGTTAAATTTTCTGCCACAGGAAGCAATTGATGTCAAAACATAGAACATTTTCAAGGATGAGTTAAATAAATTTCTTGGGACTAAAGAGATCAGAGTATGTGGAGAAAGTTTCTTTTTAAAAATGCACTCAGGAGATGTGGGCATTGCTCGCTGGCCAGCATTTTTTTGCCTGACCCTAGTTACCTTTGAGAAGGTGGTGGTGAGCTGCCTTCTTGCACTGCTGCAGTCCATGTGCTATGGGTTGACCCACGCTGTCCTTAGGAAGAGAATTCTAAGATTGTGACCCAACAACAATGAAGGAACAGTGATGTATTTCCAAGTCAGGATGCTGAGAGGTTTGAAGGGCAACTTGCAGGTGGTAGTGTTCCCATATATCTACTGCCCTTGTCCTTCCAGATGAAAGTGGTTATGGGTTTGCAAGGTACAGTCCAGGGATCTTGGATGAACCAGCTTTGTCCCTCAGCTTCTGACCTCATTATAGCCTGGTTCAAACATTGGCAAAAGAGCTGAATTCCAGAGGTGAGGTAATGTGAGAATGACTGCCCTTAACATTTGACCATGTAGGGATTCAAACAGCCCTGGCAAAACTGGAGCCAATGGGAATCAGGGGGAAAATTCTCCACTAGTTGGAGTCATACCTGGCACAAAGGAAGATAGTTGTGGTTGTTGGTTAATCATCTCAGCTCCAGCACATCACAGAAGTTTCTGAGGCCTTAATATCTTCAGCTGCTTCACAACTGCTCAGATACTGAAGCACTCCATAGCCAAATGCAGCAAGACCTGGACAGTACCAAGTAACACTGGTAGAATCCAAGTGTCAGGTGTTGACCATCTTCAACAAGAGTGTATTTAGCTATTGCCCATTGACATTCAATAGCATTAACATTGCTGTTTCCCTCACCATCAACATTCTGGGAGTTACCATTGATCAGAAGCTGAATTGGATGAGCTTATGAGGATAGCTTAGAGGCTAGGAATCCTTCAGCAAGCAGCTTATCTCCTGCTTCCTCAAATCCTGTCCACCATCTACAAGGCACATGTCAGGAATGTAATGAAATACTCTCCGCTTGTCTAAATGAATGCAGTTTCAACAACACACAATAAACTTGACCAAAAAAGTCATGTCGCAACTATATAAAACTATGTATGACATTTGGAGTACTGTGCGCAGTTCTGGTCACCGCACTACAGGAATGATTGTAGACGTTTTGGAGACAGTGGAGAAGAGGTTAACCAGGATGTTGCCTGGATTGGGGTGTATTAGCTACAAGGATAGATTAGACAAACTTGGATTGTTTTCGTGAGAATGTCAGGGGCTTGGAGGGTGGGGCGTGTGTGTGTGTGTTTGGGGAGGCGGGTGCATGGTGGTGTCAACTGATAGAACTTTGTAAAATTATGAGAGGGACAGTGAGGGTGAATCGTCAGAGTCTCTTTCCCAGGGTGGAAATGTCAAATACCGGGGGCATAGATTTAAGGTGACAGTAGGACAGTTTAAAGGAGATGTGCGAGGAAGGTTTTTTTATTTTACACAGAGTGTAGTAGGTGCCTGGAATGAACTGCCAGCGGATATAAGCAGAAACTGTAGCAAAATTTAAGAGGCATTTAGACAGACACACGAACAGATAGAAAAGAGGGAGATACACATCATATGCAGGCAGATGGGATTAGTTTAGAATAGCATCATGGTCAGCACAGACATGGTGGGCTGAAGGGCCTGTTCCTGTGCTATAATGCTCTGTGTTCTAATAATTCTGAAATTATTTCAAAAAAGACGACAAAATTTGATGCAACTGCAAACTTGCATTTGAGTCATTATCTAAGAACAATTGAAACAAAGGTCATCACTTGAGTGTATTGTGCAAAAATATTTAAACGAGATATTTCTGTCCAGTTATTAACTTAACATGAACCATTAGTTATTAAGGTTTCAATTAATGTTCATTAGCAAAGAAAATATTAGAACTCAACTCATTATTTTGGCCCTGCAGGTGCTCTTTGGCACCCAACCACCTGGTTTTGAGTTCTGTTAAAGATGACAAAACCAACTGGCATAGCATAGTGACAACTAAATATGATTTTAAAGTACAGTTTGATCATTCTCAATCTATTAATATTCATATTAACATACAGACATACAATCATGCTATTGTAAAACCGAGAGAACTGCAGATGCTGTAAATCAGGTACAAAAACAGAAGTTGCTGGAAAAGCTCAGCAGGTCATGTGCTGATCATGATACTGTAATTTATTCAGGTTTAAAAAAACACAAATGACAGGCGCTAATGTTTTAAGTTTAGAATGAATTACAGTAAAGCAACAAATTGTATATTCCTAAATCTGTACAACAGTACAACTTTTAGATTTCCTTTTCCTTCAAATCTTTCACCCAAGGTATGCTTGAATACCTTTGTGGAGTTACCTCTGGTTCTCACTTGGTTAGAGTATCATTTCAGCTACCACTTTCCTTAAGGATGGGTCCATCTCTTCTTGAAGCTTGGTGAAGCACCTGTGAACCAGATGTTGCTGTTTGGCATCTTCATTAACCATCAACTCCCCATAGAGATACACGCCCATTGCCTAGGAGAAAATACACATACCTTTACAAAATTAAACTCAGTATTAAAGTGCGTGTTTTGCGAAAGTAAACTAGCAAGGTCTGGCTCTGTAAAGAAAAATATTCTCTTCCGTTTGCAGTTTGATCACACTATTTCTTTTCAAATTAACAGCAGTTAGTAGTGCTATGTAATTGCTGACTTAGTATAGTACTAGACATGTTTGAACTCTTGCACTACAAGTCTATGTTTTCCTTTTGATTTTCAGCACGATTAAAATTGTATTGCCCCACTCTTTCAAGAGTTTTCAGTACCATTCCCTGCACTTATTGTTAATTAAAGTTTTAGGGATGCAATGGTGTAGTTTCTTTTTGAGAACTGCAATTTAAAACCGTTGAAACACAGAACATCAAATAAACTCTGGCATGCACTGTAACCTTTTTTGTTGGCAAATTTAAAATTGACTATGTGAACCTCGCACAAGAGATGCTTATGCTTTTAACCTTTAAATCTAGGTCACAATGAACTATTCAAACGCAATCACACTGAAATATTTAAACAACATTGTTAAATAAGAATGTAGCTATATATACATTGTGTACGTTTGTGTTTCATTGCATTTCATGTCATTTACCAATAACTCCTAGCACTCATGTTTGCCAACTCTTTCTGTTACAACCACATTTTTTCTGAAACAAGTTTCTGCCTTATTTTTCTATTGACTGAACCACCTCTGATTAGGTCCTAGATGCTTTCTTACACGTGTAGGCTTATAGTAGCTATAATGTTATGTTGTCGCATGGCTGCCATTGTGACACCATATTTCAGACAAACTAAGTATTTAATTCTTCTCCCCCCACTTATTTAAATTACTATGGTGCAATCTGTACCAACTAATAGTCCTCTGCCATTTCTTTCATTTCTCAGCCTCAGTTCCAAACTGTACTGTTACTCAATCTTCCCTGTTTTAGGCCTACCTCTCTCAGGCCTTTCCACACATTATTGCAGCTACACAGATACCTTCTCCCATGTATAGGATCCTTTACCCTCTACACCTCTTGTATGTACCCTGTCCTCATTTTTCAAACTAACCAATCCAACATCATTTCCTGAAATACTACCTTTTATTAAGAGCTACTGCTGAATGGAGCACTCTGTGAAGACAGTGCCCAATCCCCATATACATACATGCTGAAAAATTCATTAAAAATGAATGGCGTCAGAGGACTATTCTATATGAACGAGACCAGTAGACCAATTAATTTAATGATGGTTGTGAAAAATCCTGTTTTATCAGTGCAACACAAATGTATACAGTATGACAATGGTTAGAAAACTAATAAACACTAAAGCAAAATTCTTCAAGAAAGAATTATAGGATTCCAGCAGAGATCTTCACGTATTACCTGCTGATCCTCCAACTTTTATATTACATTAATTTGCATCACGCCTATAATAATGTATACCAAACTCTTTATATATTCAGCAATATGTTAGCCCACATGCACTGCAAAGAAAAATCACAACAATGGATGTCTTTGACAGGAACACAGTAGAGAAAACCTAGCAGTAGGGGGAGTAATTTTTACTTGATCTAAATTACAGGACAGAATTCATGTGGAGATAATGGGATTAAAAGTACTGAAATTGACAATACATTTGGCAATCTGATTCCAAAACACGTATGCTCCATTCAAGGAACAGCCTTGATAGAACTGGATTGTTATCGTCAATTTGTTAATAGTTTATCAAGAGATTTTTTTAACATGAGTCATGGAATTTAACCATGATAAGCCTACCTTTTCCTCCCACCTTCCATACAGCCCTCAGCACTGTATCTAGGAAGACATCGTTAAAGTAAATCAGACATTGCCTCAGGTGTGTTCTGGTGCACACTGCAAGTTTGGTGAATGGGAGCTTGGTGAGTAGGGGAGAGAGGTGCTCTGTTCCTTTTTCTTTCTCCTTCTTCAGTCTCAAGAAAAGCAGGTGCTGAAAAGCTGCACAAGAGGGGTGAGTTTTGAAAACATTCAAGAGTGGCATTACAGGGAGAACATAAGCTCATTTACTGGGATCTGGAGACAGCACAGGACAAGTGGCCACGTTAATAAGCAAGCCCAGCTGAGTATACCTACTATCAAGACTTTAAAGTACACACTTCAGTTTAGATTGAGTGCTTAAAGCATAGAATAAGGAAAGTGGGAAGGAGAGTAATTTGAGGGTAAGTCATAGTAAAGTGGCTTAGCCAGGCAGAATGCCCCTCCTGTGTGATATTGAAAGTCAAGGACACTTCCAACGTATAGGGTGATCACATGTGCAGAGGTCTCTCCAGCTGCAGGAACTGGAAACCCATATTTCAGATCTGGAGCCGATTCAGGGCTGGAGTCACTATGAAGTATTTGCAAGGCTGAGATCTTTACAAATAGGATGTGCAGTGAGGTTACACTGTTGGTAAAGAGTGTACAGGCAAAAAGGGAATGGATGACCACTAGGCAGATTAAAATCAACAGGCAGAAAGTGCCGAAGTCCCCTGGGGTCATTCTCCTCTCTAATGGATTTTCTGTTTTAGATGCTGCTGGGGGAGATGGCTTTTCAGGGGAATGCAGCAAGAACCAAGTCCATGGCACAGGAGTAGTTCAGCTGCACAGGAATTTGGAGAAACAAAATAGATTGGGACAGCACGAGCAATCTATTGCAAGAGAAACAGATATTTCTGTGGCCACAGACTAAAAATCAAGGTGGTATGTTGCTTCCCTGGTGCCAGGGTCAAGGATGTCACTTAGCAGCAGAAGCAGGACATTTTGAAAAGAAAGGGAGAATAGATAGAGGTCATAGTCCACATCTGTATAAACAAAGATAAAATGAGGAATGAGGCCCTGCAAGCAGAATATAAGAAACTAGGAAATAATTAAAAAGCAGCACATCAAAAATAGCAATCACAGAATTCCTCCCAATGCCACATACCGGTGAGATCACGGATAGGAGAATAGACCAATTGGATACCTGCCTGGAGGGATGGTGAACAAGGGAGGGATTTAGATTCTGGAGGCATTTTGACTGATTCTGGGGAAGATGGGATCTATACAAGCTACACTGGTTTTGCACCAGCAGGACCATAACAGTATCCTCTCAGAGGCCTTTGCTAGCACTGCTGGGGAAGTTTTGAACCAGAGGAGCAAGGGGAATGAGAACCTTGGTGGGGAGACAACATTGAAAAAGGCTAGCAGTAAATTGGGCCATTGTACAAAAAGGAATATAAAGATGTCAAAAAAGTGTAAAAGTACTATATATGAATTCACGGAGCATTTGCAAGAAGGGTCAAGTGATAATCTTGCCAAAGGTTCTTCAAGAAAGCGTCCAGTACAATAGAGAATTCATCACTGGGACAGAAAATGAAATAATGGAACTCAAGAATGGAGTCCTCAATGAAATAAATGAACTACAAAGAAACTACAAAAGGAGTGAGTTGGCTGCAATAGGTGGAATCACTTCATTAAAAGGCATTACTTGTAGATACCTGTGGTTAATATTTAAGGAATGAATACACACTTTGCAATCACTATGCACATCTTTTGAGCAAAGGAACACAACAGGGAAAGGAGCCAACTATGGCTAATAAAACAAATTAAACATTGTATTAAATTCTAAGCAAGTGAAGTAAAATAAAGCAAAGGAAGGCCAAAAGGCTGATTGTGAGGGGAAGAAACAGGATACAAGAGTAAACTTGCAAGGAACATAAAAGCAGATAATAAGAGCTTCTATAAGTACGTAAAAAGAAAATAATAAATGCAGACAAACTTAGGCTCTTTACAGTTTGAAATGGAAGAATTGATAATGGACAACAATGAAATGGCAGAGCAATTAAACAACTTCTTTAGTTCTGTCTTCACAGCAGAGGAAACAAGTAATTTCCCAGAAATGCTATGGAGGCAAGTGTGTATTGGGAAGGAAGAACTGAAAGAAATTAATATTAGCATAAAAATGGAGCAGAAGAACTTAATGGGAGTGAAAGTTGATGAAACTCCAGGGATTGATAATCTCTATCCCAGGAGAGAAAAGATGGTGACAATGGAAGTAATAGATGCATTGGTAGACATATTTCAAGATTCTGTAAAATTCCCAGCAGATTGGTAGGTGGTAAATGTAACCCCCTATTTAAGAAACAAGGGAAGGAGAAAACCAGGATATACAGACTGGTCACTCTAATATCAGGATTAGGGAAAAGGTTGAAATCTACTACAACAGATATGATAGCAGGACACTTGAAAAATACAAACAGGATTACTCAATGTCCATGTCATCAATGGTTTGATGAAAGAGACGTCATCAATTTAAACATTGTTAAAATGAGACTAGATTTGAAGCTCTTTGTCCTGCACTCATCATTATGTGATGCCTGGTGTGAAGACAGATGTCTCAGTGACTGAGAGATCACTCCAAACAACATGTCCCGTTGACCATTTGCAGGTGGCAGCATGTCACTCTTGCCAACCAGCTTGAGTTAGCATGCCTCAGAAAAATATGTTCATCATTTGAAGTAATTCTGCTTTGGAAACCATTTATTAAATAATCCAGACTGTGCTAACAGTTGCAGCCAAAACCAATTTAAGGTCATTAGCTGGGATTGCACACTGATGCACTCATCCATGCTGGACGCTATACATAAATACTCAGTACTCTGTTTTATGTAGGCAAAAGGAATCTATACATACATTGCACCTTTTTCAAAGAAGAGATCATTGAGACAGGAAAACTCTGTTGTATCCCTATGGAAACACCCTGAACAATCAGACACTACCCTCCTGGTCTGAAAATTAAGGTCAGCAGTTAACTGTTTTAGCTGCATTTCCATGCCAAGACATCTCAACTAATCAGCACTCTCAGTGTCAACTTTTATGGTCTGTTTTTTGCAAGCTATTTCTGATGAATGCAAGTCAAAAAGCTTGAACTTCCAGTCTATTTTAGCAATGTTGAAAGGGAAATCATGTTTGGCAAACAGACTGGAGGTTTTTGAGTGCATAACTACCA